TTAAAAAAATTAATTAAAAAAAAATTTCACCAAGAACAGTTCTCATGGAATGTTGTTTTTGGGAAAGACAATGAAGTCTGCTGTTTGCGTGAGGCCGCCACCTTATAACATCTGGTAGGGAAATGCTGTGTGAATGTGAGATTAAAGTCATCCCTCCAGGGTTCTGTGGCACAAGAACTGAGGCAAAGGGGAGATGTAGCAACTCCTAACATGTCTCAGCAGCCACGCCAGCTAAATTGGGGTGAAGGGCGCAGTGTTTTTCAGCCCTCTGCCTTCTGATTGACTATATTGATAAGAAAGTGTTGACTAAAACTTTTCAATTCTGTTTAAATTGTAGCCACACTCGTTTAACCCCCTCTGAGGTGGCTGTTGAAAAGGATTTTGATGACTTTGTTAAACTGATTGCTGGAGCATTTCATGGAGCTATTGAGATCTTTTCTCAGTAACTTGGACACCCAGAACACAATGACAATCATTCATCCTTCTTTATATGTTTACTCTAGCGTTTTCAGCCAGTTACAGCTTCACCATGGTTAATCATTAGAACAAAAAGTCCTGAAGTGTAATAAGCAATGGCTTACGTCCCTAAATGTGCAACAAATATCATGTTTATGAGTTCTCTCTCTCTTAGGAAGGAGCAGTTTCACCTCTAAATGAAAAAGTGACTGTGAGCTTGTCCAGTGTGACCAATATTGGTGCAATTAGGCCCGTGCACAATTGAAGCTGCTGCTCTCAAAAATGAAATATTGAACTGGGGTCTTCGTTGCAAATTCAAAGAGATACAAAGAGAAGGGATGGATCTGTATTTCAAATATTGTTGATGCTATTGGCTTAGACATGTTCCCTTTATTGGGTCTGTTTTGCAAGCCTAAATTTGAGCCTGAAGAGTTTCTCCATATAAATGTCTTAAGTATTGCGGTGGCACATCCATCACCTTTTGCTTTTGAATTACAAAGGTAACCTTAAGATATGAGCCTTATACTGGGCGATGTGATACATACACAGAAAGGGTGAGCCTCCTCAGTGATGAAATCAGCCAGTGCCCAAGAGGAAAGTAATAGGCAGAAAGGATAGAGTTGATGAAAAAATTGATTCTTTTCCATTAAACTGTACGCGATGTGTTTTTTATGAAGCAGGCATCAGCTGAAAGAGAAATATTTTTTCAACTGAAAAGAGATTGATGGTGAGGGAGAGGATAAGTATGTAGGGGATCAGCGGATAAGTATGTGTCTTATTCTGTTACCATCTCATGCAATGAGAAAGTTGAAAAGCATTCCATTGTGCTGACTCCAAATATTTCCTTGGATTTGGTGGTATTAAAACTTTTAAATAATGGCTCTTCTTTTTTAAAGTACACCTAGACTTCACACATCATTATTTTCTCAATTCTAAAATGCGTATTGCTTGTTTTCAGGTTTACCAAAGATGCAGGTCATTAGGAAGTATTCTGGAACACCACCCCCAGCACTCCATGAAGGACCACCATTGCACATTCAGGCAGGGGACACGGTTGAACTTCTAAGAGGAGACGCACACAGCCTGTTTTGGCAGGTACTATATAAATTACAATTTGTCAGATTTAATGGATGATTTATTCCTGCTTAAAGAATAAAGCTCTTATCTTTAGAAACTGCATGCTTTCAGCTTCAGAAATTGTACATCATGTGAGAGAAACATTATTTTTTATTAAGCTTCCCAATATTTACCAATGCCAAAGTGGCAGTGAGCATTAAAATACTAGAGAAAAATATTATCAGTGCTATGGGTCATAATTATCATTTTTATTAAAAAATTCATACTCTATCAGAGCATTTTTCCAAAACGAGGACCTGTGGGTATGATCTAATTTGCATGGCTTTAATATATTAACAGTTCACGTCGGGGGAACTACCTAATTAGCTTGCCGGCGGCCATTTTTGACCATATTTGATTTTTGCCTGCCCACAGTAATGCCTGGGGTATTACTGGGTCTCTGGGCATTCTTCTTCGAATATATGAAATGTGAAGAATAAGTGAGCGTGTCGGTGTTCGCTGGTGATGAAATCTCTCTTGGCCAGTAAGCCTATATTATTTGGTTCACGTATTTTGTTAACTGAGGTAAGTATGGTAAATATGGTATAATGTTAAGATTTGATAAAGTTGGATGGTAGAACTCTGCTGTTCATTAAATTATTCTTTGTTTTATGTGTAAGTTAGAAATATTTCCCAAGAAAGCTGAAGAAAGAATTTGTTAAAAACCTATTGTGCACTGAGGGAGGAGAGAGGGAGGATCAACAGAAAGATTAGCACGTGAGCGAAATTTTGTTGCAGGTAAAGAAAGAGAAAGCAGAGAGGACAACTGGGTAATAATCCATTCTGCATATGTGGAAGTGATAGCTGTTTTATTTGCTTAAAACTATTTTATTTTCTGCCATCTTGTTACATAAGAATGCCCCTAGATTGAACGTTTATCTCCAACTGCCATTTCACTTGCTGTAGGCAATTACTTTTCTAAAGCTCTACCATTCTTCTGAGTATCCTGTTCCTCTCAGACCTCATCCTTTCCAGAAAAGGAAGAGAGAGAATAACAACCTTGAATTCTATTAACTCTTCAGCCCACTCCCGCATCTCTCAACCTAACCACAAAACATACCTGTATTTGTAGCCATAACGTGCCTCTTAGTCAAGACTTACCTTTCTTCTTGGATTTCCCATCCCATATTTCATCAGCTGGCTCTTGCCCTCTAAATTTTCAACTTTATTCTCTCCACCATGTCTTTTTCTGTAGCATATAAAGATGCTCAAACACATATAACAACCTTTCGTCTGGTTATGTCAGGCTCCCTTCCACTCTCTCACCCCCTTCCTCTCGCACGCCCGAGGATGAGCTTGTTGGGGGAATAGTCTGTGCTCACGTTCTACCCCTCTGTGTTCTCTTCACAATCCAGTCTCCTGCAGAAACTATTCCTACTTGGATCACTGGTGCCACTTTTTGTAAAAATGGCTTGGAGATATACGATATATTTTAAGAGTACAATTTGATAAGTTTTAACAAATACATATACAAGTGCGACCATCACTGTAATCAAGATAATAAACAAATCCATCAGGCCTCAAAGGTTTTGTGCCCCTTGGACTCCCTCCTTTATGCCCCTACCTGTTGCCTTGCTGTCCCCCACGCCAACCCTCAGGCAACCAGTGTTCTGCTTTCAGACTATTGGTAAGTTTGCATGGTTTAGAATTTTATATTGTGTATCATATTTTTTTATGGCTTCTTTCATGCGACATAGTTATCTTCAGATTCAACCATGTTTCTGTATGTAACAATAGTTCTTTTTATTGCTGATTATTATTCCATGTGTGGATATAGCACAATTTGTTTATCCGTTAGCCTGTTGATGGACATTTAGGTTGTTACTAGTTTTTGGCTATTGCAAATAATGCTTCTATGAACATTCACATATACTTCTTTGTATGGACACAATGCTTTCATTTTTCTTAGGTAAATACCATGAGGGGAATGGGTCAATCATATGTAAATGTATGTTAAAGTTTTTGAGAAATTACCAGGCTGCTTTTCAAAGTGACTGTACTTGTTTACATTTCCATAAGTTGTATATGAGACTTCCAAGGTGCTTCGTATCCTTGCCAACATTTGGTATGGTCACTCTTTAATTTTATTTATTCTATCAGATAGGCAGTGGTATGTCATTGTAGTTTTGATTTTCATTTCCCTAATGACTAATAATGTTGAGCATCTTTTAATGTGTTTATTTACCATCCATATACCTTCACTGGTGAAGTGCTTATTCAAATATTTTGTCAAATGTTTTGACAAGTCGTGTGTTTTCTTATTTAATTTTGAGAATTCCTTATATATTTTGGGTACAAATCCTTTATAAAATATATTATTTCCATATATATTTCCCCCTAATCTGTGACTTGTATTTTTTATTTTCTTAGTAATATTATACAGAGAACAGAAATTTTACTTTTGATGTAGTCCAGTTTGTTAATTTGTTCTTTTATGGATCATGCTATGGATGTAAGTTATCTAGGAAATCTTTGTCTATCTCAAAGTTACATTCTCTTTTGTTTTCTTCTAGAAGTTTTATAGTTTTATATTTTACATTTAGGTTTATGATTCATTGTGAGTTATTTTTGTATATGGTACTAATGGTGGGAGGTTTTCTGTATATGGATACCTAGGTGTTCCAGCAGCATTTGTTGAAAAGGCAATTATTTCTTCACTGGATTCTCTTTGCACTTTTGTAGAAAATTAGTTGTCCATATATTTGTTAAGTCTGTTTCTGGATTCTCTATTTCATTACATTGATCTCTTTCTCCATCTTTATACTGATACAGTTTTGTCCTGACTATTGCAGCTAATAAAGAGTGTTGAAGTCAGACAGTGTTACGCCTCCGAATTTGTTCTTTTCTTTTTTTCAAAGATATTTTGGCTATTCTTGGTCCTTTGCATTTCATTTGAATTTTAGAATCATCGTGTCAATGTTACCGATAAAAGCCTTCTGAGGTTTTGTTTGGGATTTCATTGAATTATAGATCAGTGTGGGAAAACTGACGTCCTAACGATGTTGAGTCTTCTGATCATTGAACATGCTATCCTTTCCAATTGTGTAGGTCTTTAATTTCTCAGCTATGTTTTATAGTTGTCAAAGTTAAGGTCCTACATATCTTTTTTTATATTCATCTGTACTTATATTTCATTTTGATGCTATTATAAATGATAGTTTTAAAATTTCAATTTCTACTGTTCATTGCTGGTATATAGAAAT